TATATATTAATAAATATATCTGATTAAAAGCATATTAATGTGTAAACAAAGATTAAATAATATACATTTAATTAAAATAATTCAATATAATTAAACTCTACTGTCACCACAAATTGAAGAGGCAATTAAATGTTCCCTAAGGGCGAACAGAAAAAGTGATTAAAGAGGTAATTATTAGGATTTTTTTAAATGTACACTAGAAAGGAATATTCTCATTATATGTAATATAGATTATAATAATTTTGACATGTAAATTTAAAGAACATTATCAATTAAAACATTAAAATAAATAATTATCATACAAATAATTTATAAAATATTTGAATAATAATTATAATTTTTTTAATTTTAAGAAAAGTAACAACTTAAATATTTTTTTGTATGATATGATTAAAACTATAAATATTTTTGAAAAAAAGTTGTAAAGTTAAGCAATAATTTTTTTAAAAAAATTGTATGTAATTTTGATGTAAGATTTTTTATTTGATTGAAATTTATATCATTAATAAAAAAATATATATGATATTATTTATATTATAAAAATGTTGTATTGTTTGTTATATGTTTTTTTTATCTATCATGTTACGATAACGATAAGGTAAAATTAAATTTTTAGTCTCTCTTTTTTGTTAATCCGCAATTTTAATTTCTCTATTTTATCCTTTTATTTTTAAAATATGAATTTTGGTTCTACCATTAATTTAATATTTATTAATTTTTAAATTTTATTATTATTTAACGATCTATTATTACTTAAGTGATGTGTGATATTTAAAGACGTGACATATATAATTAAAAATTAAAAATATACAAAAATAATATTTGTTTGTATATATTTTAACAAGTAATTAATATTTGTTTTTTTATAAATTTTATTTACATATTTTTTTATCACCAAATATCGACGAATAAATGTTAAAATTTAATAATTAATAAATATTAATTTGATAAAGAACTAAAATTTTATATTTTTAAAATTAAAGAGATTAATTTAAAATAAAAAAAACAAATTATAAATTAATAAAAATAAAAGAAAAAAAATATAATTTAACATAATGATAACAAAGTTAAAACCTTAGACTTCCAATCTTCATTACTAAACAAATCATAATAATTCTATATTATCTGTTATATGAGTGTGTAACACACATAAAACATAATTAAATATCATCTTTTGCTAATCTATTGATTTCCTCTCGTATTATATTTTATCCTGTCATAACTAAATATCAATTGTTGTCATCAAAATTTATACTAATCATGTTCCTTTTTAATAGTGGTTTAAGTTGTTTCTTTTACGCAAATTAAAAAGCACAATTTCTCTTGCTTTCTATATAAAATAAAATTGAATTTTCTATTCTGCTCCTTCATTTTTACTTTTTAATACATATAATTTGTAAGTTAATAAAAAATTAAGTAGAATATAGAAATATAATTAAAAAAATATAATTAATGTTGTCTTAAAACAGTTAAATAAAAACAATTTTATTAAAAAGCTGACCATTAAAAAGAAGCGAATAGAATAGAGTAAGAGATTAGATGCATGATGTCTTTGATTACATCTTAATGGAAACAAAGACATATAGGTAATATTTTTTTCGCATACAAGAAAATAAAAATAATTTATTTTCACGATTCTAAACACGTCATTAATTAATTACACGAC